TGTTTCCGTTTTTAGGTGTTTTGGATTCTTAGGTCAAAATTTGTTACGGCCCTTATATATTTATGACCACATACAGGGGCACCCCTATAGTTTGAAATATATTTCTCAATTTTAAAATTGGACGGAGTTCCTTGGACTACATCCAAAATCATTGAAACAGGCAATGCCCTCTTGTGGGGATAACTTCGATTTCAAGTATTGTTTTATATTTTGGCCATGTTTTTCATTTTAATTTTGCCAAATTTTGACATTTTGAGAAACGTTATTTACGAAATATTGTCAATATTGTTTCAACTGTTGATACAGCTGTTATTAAAATCCCGAAATTCATTTTACTATTTAAATACTATATTTTTCCTCTTTAAAAATGCAATTCTAAAAACACCGAATGTCAATATTTAAGGAGTTATGGCCGCTATAAAATACCCTATCTTTGGTCTGTAATAATCTCATTGAAAAAAAAATGCTAAATATGAGAATGAGAACAAAATATGATATCCCCTGATTTTAGATATAGCAAGGGCGGCCTTGGCTTTATTTTTTTTTTCATGAATATTCAAAATGTTGACCCTTTGTGGGGGATGTACCAGAAAGATTGGACCGATATATCAAATCTTTAGACCAAATCTTGTGTTAATTGAAATAATGGTATGTGTGTAATATGAAGAGAACCGGATGCTTATTTCGGATTTTATAATCGTTTTGGCTATTTGAAAGTTTGACCCTTTGTGGGGGAGCTACCAGAAGGAGTGGACATATATATCAAATCTTCTCACCACGCTTTGGGTTAATAAAAATATTGTGATGTGTGCAATTTGAAGACAATGGGACTCTTACATCACATTCTATAGGAGTTATAATTATTCAAAATGTTGACCCTTTGTGGGGGAGGTACTTGATGGTATATTGTCGATATTATCCATTTTCGCACCTAACCTAGCACTGATGCAAATATCAAAATTGGATTAACCTTTCCTTTTCTGTGCAGTAAAATATTTTTTGAAAATTTCGACCTTTTGTGGGAGAGGTATCAGAAAGTGTGTACCGATATTACATATCTCCGAACTCGCATATCTCCGAAATCGCATTTGTTATCCGATTGAGATGAAATTTTCCAAACAATATTTGTTTGGCCCAATGACGAATCCTATTGAAATTAGTGAGAATCGGATCAGGGTTGGATATAGCTCTCATATATATCATTATCCGATATCAGCTTTATTGTGCACCAAATGGCTAATATCAGCCCAAATTAACTGAATCTTGGCAATTCCGACTGAATTCATGCTAGTAATATGTACTTGGTAGTATTTGGTGAAAATCGGTTCAGATATGGCTATAGCTCCCATACATATGTTTCATCCGATGAACTGAATCTTGGCATCCTAGAAACAACTTCAAATTTGGGGTTAGCGCTTTAAGTCCATCACATGCGTAATATGCATTCCGCAACAATGATGTTTGGTAACATATATCACATACATCCCAGAAATATCTCTGTCAAATTGTATCGAGATCGGATCAGATTTGGATATAGCTCCCATATACATCTTATCCGATATCAGGATCGATTTTTTCAAATTCAACCTAGTTTTTCCATTTGCTATGACCTGGTCAAACTTACTTGAGTGGAAGGTGTAAAAGGCTCTAACGCCATGTTTATATTATAAATTTTGACGGAATAACCTCCTTGGAATGGAATTTATCATTTTAACAATGTAAACGAAAATCCGTTTAAATGTTACTGCAAAGTTTTATTTATAAAATGTATTTGTTTTTTGTATTGCTTAAAAATCCCCATGATTTATTTCTTCAAAGAAAACAATATAGTTTTTCTTGGCACCAAGTGGACATTCCATACCCGAAAAATCGTTATCTTTTAGACTTTTCTTGGAATTTTCAGCGGTGGCATTTTTATGGCAATTTTTGTTCAGACATCGATTACATGCATTCAACCTTGATTATATACAACAAAACTGTATTATGTTAACAGCGGATTTCATTTGCCATGCATTCAGAGCCATCAGTTCCACAGGCAACAGATTGTTTGACTTGGATTTCCAAAAAAAAAACATATTTTGTTTTCTTTGACATTAATTTAAACAATAACAGCAGACCAACAAAATGGCAATTTGCCAGAGATTTTTCAACAAGAAAACTCAAATTCTTTTCGCAGTAAAAAGAAACCTCAAGTAAAAATGGAAACAGCTTTTGCCCGGCATGTCAGTTGGCGTTTGATCCCCAAAATGTTTATGGATCAACGGCATCATCAGCCATCAGTGAAATCGTCATCATTATCATCATAGCCAACAGGCATCAATTCAAACAAATAGTTCTTCGTTTTCGATTTCTTTTTTGTTTTTGAAATCGCGGCTGCGTTAACAAATTGAAGATGTATATCTAACAAATGTCCTTGAAATGTGCCCCATACCACCGGCCGACAGTACCAACCCCACCAAGCACACAGAACAAATGTATGTCACTTTTACCCACACTTACGATTACTTGGACCGACTAAAGAAAAAAAGAATTCATGGAGGTGGACAGCGCGACATTAAGTTTTCCCACTTTTAAGAAGATTTGTTTCTTATGTATCTCTTAAAAAAAAAACGAGTGTTACTCGATGATGCGTTAAATTTGTATTCGAATAAAAGATACACATCTATAGCGGCACATATGTATATATGTGTGTATACAACTGTTCTGTATAACACAGAACTAAAAAATATTTTCATGATAATCATCGAAAATTTATAGAAATTGTATGAAAGCAATATAAATAAATAAAATCTAGATGTTGATGCGAAAAAAATGCCAACTGTACAGCCAATCTTATGACATAACGGGAAAAATACTTGTCAAAATTTTGTTTTCAATTGACGACTTAAGACAGGTGATTTGAATTATATGTTTGAAATTGATTTATTTATGCAGAAAATCATGAAAACTATTTTTTAAGCTGAAAAACTAGCAATTCTGCAGTATCCAAGAGTCTTAAAAATTTGTGGGATTAGCGAGAATTTTGAAATATTTTCAAAATGATTCCGGTTTTTTGTGTTTAGTTTAAAACACCAAGCTAAAGTATGGAAAGTTCCTTTGGATTTATGGCTGTAATACTTAAAATAAAGGTAAACAAGAGAGCAGATAAAAAGGCATGTGTATAAAAGAGAGAAAGAGAAAATCCATGATAATATATGTATGGGTGAATTCAGTAGTAATTCAAGGCAGAGCTCAGAAATTCTTTCTCCAATTCGGGTAAAGAGCGAAACTCGCTTGAATTCGAGCATAAGTGAAAAAAGATATCGGGTATACGATATTTGGCTAAGCCACTCGAAAAAGAGCGAGTATAATATGCTCGTTTTTGAGTGGAAGTGCAGAGTACTCTTATAGTCTTTGTCAAACCGCTTTTTATTTTTGTTGCTTCAGAAAATGTTCTTGTTGTTGTTTTTGTAAACTTAGACAGCTACTTTTGGCCACTTAGATAGATTGAAAAAGCCATAATTACAATAGAGTTTGGTTTGAAAACGCCCACTAGGTCGACATACGACTTTGTGCTTTTTTAAAATTCTTACGAAAAAGGTATAAAAAAGTCGGGTCTAAAAAATTGATAATACCGATATCAATCTCTTTTTGATAGGTATTTTCATTAGCTTTCAATTGATATTTGTTTGAAATTCGTTTTTAATAATAGTTCTCCCCTTCAAATTTCCTGCCCTCACAAAAAAATTCCCAATCATATTTTTTTATTTTGGTGTAAATCGGTAACAAAAATCCAAATTTCTACTCAAAACGATGAGTTTCTTCTAATATTTTTTTCTGACATTATCGTTGGTATTTTTTGTTACAAATACCAAATTTTTCAAAAAATAAAATTCGTTAAAAATTCTGTTAAAATCTTTAAAATATCGACTGTAGGAAGTTGCCATTATATTGTGGTCTATACAAAGACGTGGACTTGTCATTACAATTTTCCAATACGAAACTTAAAAAAAAAACTCCGGTGAATAATGTAGCTAAAATCATCAAAATGCCGAATATAGGGAGATAACGTTATATCGGGGCTATATGAAAACCTGGACCTGCATAGACACTTTCTGGCTTTATTACCTATTAGGAACTTCAAATAAGAAATTTTAAACAATTTCGTTGAGTATTGTATCTAAAATCGTCAAAATACCGAATATATGGAGGTTCTGATATATGGGGCCTATACTAAGACGTGGGCCTGCATGCGCAATTTTTTTTAATAGGCTGTAGTACCCATTACGAATTTTAAATACGACATTTGAAACAACTCCGGTGAATAATGTCCCTGAAATCGACAAAATATCGGATGGTTTCGTTTTATGTCGGATATACACTACGAAATTCTAGTATGGATTTTTAGACAATTCCTTTGAAAAGTGTAGTCAAAATCATTAAAATACCGAATATAGGGAGATAACGTTATAGACAATACTCTTCCAGGGGGGTAAAGTACTCAGAAGGAACTCCTTTTGTGGATTTTCAGACAATTTAATTGAAAAAATTGGCTACAATAATCGAAATACCGATACCGAAATACTATCTTACCTATCGAACAGGGCTAAATCGTCTTAGAATTTTACGCTGATCAAGAATATATTTACTTCGTTATGTCTAAAATTATTACTTCGATTAGTAAAAAACGGAATGAGGAACTTAATATACCCTCCATGTATGGTGGAGATTATAAACATTTTCTTTTTATCACTGGCAGAAAACTCCTACATTTTAGGGGTTAGTATAAATATATGACGACAGTTTTTTTTTTTTTTTTTTTTTTTTTTTTTTGAAAAATTTTGTACTAAATTTTGTTCCATTATGAGTGTACAAATGAAATACATAGATAGACGCAACCTCTATGGTAGAATCTTATTGTGTGATGTTATGTGTAGCCTTTACTGTGGATAAATAAATGACAATTATATGAGCCATTTTATAATAACATAATAATAACATATTTTCTTTCTTTTTAACAGAAACCATCTTCCCACCTGTCTTCGGCAAGCGTTTGCAAGCCCAAGTCATGAAGAAGAATGAAAAAATTGTCATGGAAGTCGAGGTTACTGGTTTACCCGCGCCATCGGTCGTCTGGATGAAAGACGACAAACCGTTGGCTGAGGCAGGTCTATCGCAACATAGACTCCTTGAAAATGGCAATAGCCATACATTGATCATTGAAAGGGGTAAGTATTTATCAATAGCCAAGGCGTTTTAAAGCCTTTCTTACTTTTACACCTCCGCTACAAAAAAAATATTTTCTTTTTGTGATTATTAACCCATCCACCATTACCAATGTATACACTTCTAATTCAGGCCAAATTAGCGATTCTGGCAAGTACATGGTCAAAGCAACCAATGCTGCTGGCGAAGCCAAGAGCATAGCGGACTGTGCTGTTCTGGAACCGACGCCAGAACGCATGCAAGAGGTGGTCAAGACAGTCGTCTATGAGAGACCCGATGCATTCACCACTGAAGTAAGTTTGAAATTGAAAAGACACAACGCCTATCGATATAAATGAAATGAAAACGAAACAAAACGAATTGAAAAGCGATTCAAGTTCTGCCGTAATTTTTTTTAGCATAGCATTAATGATTATTGTTTAAACCTCCTTTTCTTTGGTAAATTTAAGAAAAATCAAATATTTTTTTATAAAACTTACTCCACCTACTAGTTTATGGTAAAAAACACTTTTTTCTTTATTTATTTTATATTTTCATAAAACTTATGTGTGTGTGCGTGTGTCTTCTTTGAACATGCACCTGGGTATACCAATGAAACTAACCAAAAAAAAACTATTTATCCATCCCATAACGAAACCGAATTGATCGACAATTTTGAAACCTGTCAATGTCTGAATGTACACAAATAAATATTGCATCCAATCAATTTTCGGATGTTACTTCCTGACCGAACAACCAACCACCAACCAACCAACAACACCATAAACCAAACCTGGATAACTCAACAACAAAACAAACATTAACTGTAACAACAACAAAAATTAACTCTCTGCCTACCTACGTGTGTCTGTGTGTGTGTGTGTTTCTCTGTAACTTTCCCATGGATGCAATGCAACAACCATCGACAACTTTACAGTTTAACAAGGAACCCATGTCGTTTGAGTCCCAAAAAATCGAAAGCCAAAAATCAAGCGACCGCCATGGCTTATCCGAGTCCAAAATTATAACTGAGCATCGTTGCACCACCGAGGCAACAATGCGTCTAGAACATAAGCCCAATTACTCCGATTTGCCTGATCGCCTGACCAGACCTAATGTGGATGTAACCGATCACAGTAGTCGACTGCCAGCAACTAATCCACTGGGTAGTGCGGTGCCACCACCACATTTCGGTGTGGCCACTCCCTTCCATCCATCGGCGCCGGCAGCTGTGGCGGCCGCCGTGGCCAAACCCCATGTCACCTTTGTGGATCCAAATGACACCGAACCCCAGTCCATCATTGATAGCGAGGAAAAGAAGACCTCATCCTTTGAATATTTCAAGAAGATCGATAAGGTCATACAAAGTGGCGCTCCCACCGACTCCCCGTACCAGAAACCCGAATCTCAGCCCGTATCCCTTACCAATGGCGAAGAATCTGTCGAAGACCGCACCTTGAGACGTGGTTCACCACCTCAAATGTGTTTTGTTCCCAATACCGAAAACCAAACGAAACCCAAAAATCCTCCAATTAATGAAAGAATCAAATTGTTGGAAGAAATGCCCGCCAACACCAAAGAACCACCTCATGGTGGTGTACCGATATTCCCACCCAAACCTGGTACCCCCAAACCTTCGCTGGAAGGTTTACGCATGGAGAAATTATGGAGCCCCAGTGCCACACATGCCACCGGCTTGGGTGGTAGCAATCACGATCTAAGTGCTCCCTCTCTCGTCAAGCAGGCCGCCAGGGGAGCTAGTCGCCCCAAGACGCCAATTGAAGACATCGATTTACAACCCGGTACTCCACCAGAAATGTGCTTTGCCCCCAAGGGTCCCCAAGTACAGCAACGCCAATCCATTGTTGAGACCATGGAAAAGATAATCGAAGAGAAGCTGATACAATCGCGGCCCTCCAATGTCTTGCCACAGTCCGTGCCCACCGTGCTACCCCTAACGCCTACCGACACACCACAGCAAGCACCGATCTATAAACCTCCCCCGCCAGTCGTTCCCCATAAATTGCAAACGCCCAATGAAAGCGATTACGAAAGTGATCGCTGGAAATGCAGTGGCAGTGAATCGGATGAGAATACATTACGCACTACATTCAAATCGTTCCAGGCCCCCGTTCACAAGACCAATGGTTACGCGGCCGACACCGAGGACAAACAGGAATCCTATTCAGCGACAGAGAATCGTTATCACCATGAAGATAAGGTTGGAATTGAAGCGCATTTGATACGCCTACAACATTTTTGGAATGTCTGTTTTATGTTATTGTTGTTCTTTCCTTTTTTTATGTACAAAATTTTTGTGTACAAAAATTGGACTTAATCGGAATGTGTTGGAAATTTCCATTTGTATTTTGTTGAATGTTTAATGTATATTTTGCGATGTTTTTTCTCTCCCCATCGTTTGAAGGACATTGTTGAGATTTGTTTTTTTGTATATAATATGTGTGTTACGTTACAGAGAAAAACTTTCAGGACATGGAAAACGGGCGTTAACACCGTTACCACTTTCAATAATAATTGTTTTTACAAATCATTACAAGATGTTGCCCAACAACTCTAAAATGAGAGCAAGTGTAGGGAGCAATTTTGACAGTTGAGTTGCTGAGAGTTTTCAAAAATGTCCTCTTGATAGTAAGAATTATTTAGTAGCATCAGCTGATTGAAAAACAGCTGTTTGTGGCCAATGTCAAAATGTTTAAAAATTTCAGTTAATAAGTATTCAGCATTGTAATATACCTTTTATAAACTATTTTTTTCAGCATTAATTTCATTTTTGAAACTATTCATAAATTGTGTGTTCTTTCCATTTTTTACTGAATATTATTCGACAACTTGTTTTCCATATTTGTTCGAGAGAGAGAGAGAGAGGGAGAGAGAGAATTCTCTCAGTACAAGTTAGTAAGCATTTTAATGAACAGTTTATCGTGCACAACTAATATAAACTAAAGGACAAAGAAGAATATAAGTTATGTTGAAGAAAGTTATATTATTTTGATAAAATTCTCATTAGGTCTACCAGTAAAAAATATTTCATCCCGACATGGTCTAATTCGAAATAGTTTAGATTTTTTCTAACCCATTTTATTGTACCATCTAAAGTAGAAACAAAGATGTCAGGGATTGAGATAGGAGAGCGTTCCACAGTGGTTCAGAATCAAAATTTCTTTCAATTCTTTATACCCTCCACCATACATGGTATGTAGGGTATATTAAGTTGTCATTCCATTTGAAACTTTTCGAAGTAATAATTATAGACAACAAAGTATGTATAGAGTTCGTAATGGGAACTACATTCTATAGCAGAAAATTGTCTATGCAGAGCCAGGTCTTCGTAAAAGCCCCATATATCGGTACCCCCCCCCCCCCCTATATTCGTTTTTTGTAATGGCCTATGGCAACAGTTGCCTATGCAGGTCCACGTCTAGGTATATAACGGCTATATTCGGTATTTTTAAGATTTTAACAGAATTTTTAACTGATTTTTATCAATTATTTTTTGAAAATTTCCAATTTTTTCCCAAATGATGGAGGATATTCAAAGTTCGGCCCTTCCGAACATACTGTTTTTTTACTCGTTTAACAGTTAAAATTATATTTGTTTGTTTTTTACAGACAGGTACGACTTTTTCAATATTTTTGTTTTCACAAAAATCAATTGAGTTATTGTTGAAAATATTTTTATCAAACCCACACAATCATTGATATTTTTATTTTTGAAATTTTCAATATAATGATACGTGTCGATAATAACACAATTTTAAAATTAAAATAATAACATTTTTGGCTTTCCTGTCAAAATGGGCACACAAACAATTTTAAAACGTCGCAAACAAATGCCGACTTTGACAATTAAAAAAAAAAAAAACAAAAAAAAATTAAAAGAGGCCATATGGATTTTTGGATAAATCTGAAAATCATTAGCCACCCAACTGGGAACAATGTTAAGCAGACTTTTTGTTGGGTATTTTTAAAAAAATAAATAAATAAAACTAAAACTGTACACACTAATATAAAAACGAACTTAAAATCGATTACGAAAATCCGACTCTTATTTTTCAATACCAAATTCTCTAACTACCCTGCAAATCAAATATCGGATCAGTATAGCCCACATATAACGGTACATCCCGATATTCGGTATTTTGATGATTTAGCTACATTATTCACCCGAATTATTTCTAAATTCGCATTCGAAGTTTGTAGTGGGTACTACAACCTTTGCCTAAGAATTTCGTATGCAGATCCAGGTCTTTGCATAGCCCCCATATAACGGTACCTCCCAATATTCGGCATTTTGATGATTTTTGCGATACTATTCACCGGAATCGTTTCAATTTCCGTATAGAAAGTTCGTAATGAATGCAACAGCCTATGGCCCAAAATTGCCTGTGTCGGTCCAAGTCCTCGTATAGGCCCCATAAAACGGTACCTCTCTTTATTTAGTATTTCGATAATTTAAGCGACATTATTCACCGGAATTGTATCAAAATTCGTATTTGAAGTTCCTTATAGGTACTACTGTGACAGCAAAATTCTTAATCAAGTCCACGACTTCGTGTGGCACCCATATAATGGTACCTCCCTATGCACGGTATTTTGATGATTTTACCGACTTTATTCACCCGAGTTTTTTTCAAATTTCGTATTCGAAGTTTGTAGTGGGTACTAGAGCCTATGCTTCAAAATTTCGAATTAAGGTTCACGTCTTCGTGAACCCCCCTTCTTTTTTACTTGTTTATTTTCTGCTTGTGAGGTAACATTTATTGTAAGCAAGCAAAAAAGGGATAAACAACAACTTTCACAAAAATGTTCTCCTTGAGAGCATTACAGTGAAAGTTATTGTAACTTTCCACATCAGAACTTCATTAGACCTTTATTTCGAATTTGGACTGAAATTTTGGTAAAAAATCAGTATCCGCATGACATTGCTTCCGAGTTCGTTCCGAAATGCCGTCCGTCAACTCTAATTTCCCTTCCGAATTCCCAATGAATATCCTTTTGGTTCGAAAGGCGGCTAAATCTTCAGACTTTCATCCGACTCTTCGGTCCAACAAAAAGTCAACCACTACATATAACTTTCGGTCAAAAGTTGGTCCGAATACGCATCCGAAATTAGAAGTTTTATCCAACCGAATTCGAACCGGAAATTCGGACTGAACTCGGACAGTTCGGTTCGCTAGGTAGTTAACGACAGAATTAACAACTAGTATCGATAACAGCGAAATTTTCAATTGCTTACAATAATGGCAATCAACGAAATTTGACCGAAGTTAAAGACGAACATAAAGTAGTCACTAAGACCAACCGATGTAAAAAATGTTGTTAACTTTTTCCTCATTTTTTTACACAAATTACAAATTTTCCTAAATATGAAAAAGTCCCTTTTAAAGGCAAGTCTCGAGTACATTTTCCAATATGTAGATCTATTTTCTTATTTCTTTATTTTATTGAAAATATTGAATATTGAAACAAAAATCAATGAGGACAAACATTTAGGATTCGGTCAGGGAAATTGATTTCTGAACCACTGTGCAGCGTAAGGTAGAGTATGTCCATCAATTGGGTTAATTGAAAGGCTTTATAGTTTTCTAAAGGACATTGATCTGCAACAAAAAATCACAATATAATTGAAAAACTCTTCCACATTAAGTATTAAAAATCGCCCACTTTAGTCGTTTAACAGGGTTTCATTTAGTTTTTTTTTTCCAGTATTGAGAGTTTGTAGCAGTTCTTCTCTCATAGTGGAAAATAACTCATGAAGGACAAGTTTTTGTTTACCGACACACATATCCTGTATTTTTGCATTTTGAATGTAAAGCTTTATTTATTTAAAATCCTATATAATTACATAACTATTTATATTAGTTAGAATTATTTTTGTATTACAACAACACACAAACCAACTAATCTGTGTACACTCCACGCAACAACCACAACATTTATGTATGATATCCTTTCCGTTTTTCCCCCAGTTCCCCAACACGTTCCCAATTCCTAAAATTGTTAACAAACTATCAATCTTGGATTTGAATGAATGCTTTAAACCTATGACTAATTTTTAATAATTGAAGCGTTTGTTTTATTATTGTTTTAACATGATCTTTAAGGGCTACGGTTCGTAAGTGTAGCTGAAAAGATTTAAAATGTCATACATTTTTTATTGATTTCGAAAATTCGAATTTCCATAATTTTCATTTGTTGTAAATGTAGTAATTAAATGCAAAATGTTGCATTTTTGTAAAATACTTTTAAGAGCACTCAACAATTATCGTAAATTAAAAGAAACACATATTTTAATTTTACTATATCTGTAATATATATTATTTTATAATTTAATTATAATTAAATAATTATGTGGAGCATCTAAATGTATGCTACAAAAATTTTAAAGATAAATTTAAAAAGAGTCATTACAAATACTCCTAAAATGATGTGTAAACTGGCCTTAATGGCTTTTCTATGCATTGCGATTCAAAAGTATGCGAAAAAAAACACCAAGACGAGTAAAAGTCAAAGAAAAAATACGAGAGTCAAAATATTCGTGTTTTCATTAATTTACATTTTCGAATCGACATACATAAACAGGGTATTTAAAACAAACTAATTTATTGTAATTCCTTTTAACCCAATCGCTGCGACGGTCATAAGTATTTTCAGCAAAATTATGCTCAGAGTTTTGATTATCACCGATCGCTGGGACCACATGGTACAACGTTCAATATACCTCCGCATCGAATGGGTTAATGAAAAGTATTCAAATATACGAACATTGGTCGTTAGATCCAATGAGTCTTAATATGGGGTATTTACAATAAACCAAAAATTTATTGTTTAAAAACCCATCCAAAATGTATACATAACCTCCATCTTGAAAAGGAGGCTATAACAATTTTGCCATTCCTTTTGTAACATCTCTATATATTCGTCGTAGACCCCATAAAGTATATATTCTCATGATCAGCATAAAATTCAAAGTCGATTTAACGATGTCCGTCTGTCTGTCTGCTGAAAGCACGATACAACCCACATTATTTGACGTAGAGCTTCAAAATTTGGTAAAACAATTTGTATTGTCTCTAGGATGGTTGGTATTGAAAATGCGATATATGGGTGCACGTTTTTGTATAACCCCCATATAACGGTACCTCCCGATATTCAGTATTTTGATGATTTTTGCCACATTTTTTTTACGAATATGTCTAAAAATTGGTATTTGTAGGGCATAATGGGTTCTAGCTCCAGTGCCGGAACATTGTACATATAGGTCCACGTTTTCGTGTAGTCAACATATAACGATACCTCCCGGTATTCAGTATTTTGATGATTTTTGCCAATTTTTTTACGGATTTGTCCAAAAATTGTTATATATAGTTCGTAATGGGTTCTAGCTCCGGTGGCGGAACATGTATATATGTAGGTCCACGTCTTGGTATAGCCCCCATATAACGGTACCCCCCGATAGTCTGTACTTTGATGATTTACACCACATTTTTTACGGATTTGTGTAAAAATTAATATTTGCAAGTCATACTGGGTTCTAGCTTCGGTGGCGAAACATTGCATGTATAGGTCCACGTTTTTGTTTAGCTCTAATAAAACGGTGCCTCCCGATATTCGGCATTTTGATGATTTTCCACGGATTTGTCTAATAATTGGTATTTGTAGTTCGAAATGGGTTCTAGCTTCGGTGGCGAAACATTGCATGTATACGTCCACATTTTCGTATAGCCCCCATATAACGGTACCTCCCGATATTCGGTATTTCCGTGATTTTTCCACATTTTTTAATTTATAATGGGATATAGCTCCGGTGGCAGAAAATTGAATATCTACCTCCACGTTTTCCTATAGTGCACATATAACGATACCCAACGATATTGTTTCAAATTAGGAATTTAAAATGATTTGGTAGATGACAATCCACGAAGTATAAAATAGTCTATCGAACTTCCCGTTTTGTTATTTAAAGTGAAACACGTTTGAATTCAGATACTTTTATATAAAAATGTTTTCTTTACGCAGTGGTGGAGGGTATTAAAAGTTCGGTCGGGCCGCAGAAGACTAATTCTCTCAGTACAAGGTACAGAGTAGTATTTACTGGGAAAGTCACCGTACAGATCTATTGTCCAACTACATATACTTGATTTAGCATTGCCTAATTTTATTCAATATATCTTGTTCCTCAAAAGGAACTACCTCGTTTTTCTAGTTCCTAAGAAGCAGAACTGTCAACAAATTTTTTAATATTCTTTCATATAGTGTAGGGTACGCAAAGTTTGTCAAGGTCGAATTTACTGCATTCTTTTTTTAATGCCTAAGAAAAACAAAAAGACAAAACCGGATAAAAAAATATTTATAAATATTTGCAAGTGCGAAGTATTACAATGACAATAAAAGAGAGTGAATACGATAGGAAAGTATCAATCGAGGCAAGAACAAAGTAACTATGTATACAGGGTGAGAAAAAAAACTGCAAAAAAGTCAAACGCCGTAATTTTTACATTTTTTTTTTAAATTTTATTGAATAAAAGCAAAAAATTTCGGAAATGGCATCAAATTTTAGAATAAGTTTTGATTTTGTTCGAATTGGTCACCTTTGGCATGAATTATGGCCTTCAAAAGGTCAATGAAATCGTCAAACGCTGCCCGAATATTGCTCTGCGGTATTTTGGCCAATCCCGCGCAGCGCTTTCTTTGGTATTTTTAGTGCCAACCTTGCTTTCCAAAATACTCCAGACACAATAGTCCAACGGATTGGTATCTGATTTTGGTGGCCATTGTGCGCTGGAAATGAAGCGAGGAACCACATTTTGTAACCTTTCTTGGGTGGCGCGTGCTGGGTGCGATGGTGCTGAGTCCTGTTGGAATGCCCAAGGTCTGCGGACAAAATGTTTGCGTGCCCAAGGCTTAAATACACCCTCCAGAATATTTTCAAGATAATATATTATACATTTATTCTGATGCCACTATCGAATAATACGAGCGGAGAGCGACCATCGGCTGTTTTGGCGGCCCACACCATCACCATGGCCGGCGCTTGAGATCTGGTGGCCAACCGAAGGTGAACATTTTCAGCTGACCTCTTTGGCAAGTAAACATGATAATTTTGTTTGTTTACAAACTGCTGGACAACGAATGTTTTCTCTTCGGAGAAAACCAAATTCGTCAGTTCACCCCTTTCGGCCAACCGAAGCAACTCTTCAGCTTTTTGAGTATATTTTTTTTTTGTAGCGGTGTAAGTTCTTGCACTCTTTGGAATTTCAATGGCTTTACACCGAGCTCATTTTTCAATATTTTTATTACGATAGCCATTTCTTGTTTTCCAGCCAAATATCACGCTTCAATTCCATCACGAATAACTTTTTTTTTCTGAAAAATTCTCACCAAAATGCTGTTGTACGCTTGTAAACAATATAATGTGCTGTCACTGGAATAATTTTAACAGCTGTCGGACGAGTGGCTTAGAAATGACAGCAGTCTGAAGTTGGTTGCAGTTTTTTCATCTCACCTTCCAAATCTTTAAAAGGGTTATTGAATTTGATTACGGAAAACCTAAATTAATATGGGAGCTTTATTGTAATCTGAATGACTTCCATTAAATTTCAAAAAAAAAAAAAAAAAAAAAAAATATATATATATATATATATATATATATTTAGGATTTCCGGAATCAAATTCAATATGATTTCAAATATAAATCATTCCAAAGCCGAAATACGCATTCAATAACGATAAAAATTGGTATGATTTATTAGAAGTATATTTGTTATGGTTTCAACTGCCACATCTGCATAGTAGAGTAGGGTCCCCAACCGACTTTAGTCCATTCCTTAATGATTATTTATTCATCGCCATGTGCTGGTGGTTTACAATAAAAAATGAGAACTTGTGAGTAGGTACTGGGCTCTCAAATAAAACAATAATAATACAATTACTAGTTTCAATATTTGTAAGGTAAAATTTGTTGCGTCCATTTTGATTTCAAATTTGAATAAAAAATGCGGTTATATCACTAAAAATGTCATCCTGAGAAATTAAATCCAAAGCGTTTGGTACTATTCAAATGTACCTTGGATCGGAAAATATTGTGCCCTTGTTCAGAAAACAGATTTTAATAAAATTTGTCGTTTTGTCTACAATATACACTGTGAATGGTTGCACAAGAATGCCTGTAAAGGTCAATAAAATATTGTATAAAATAGATACTTTGCACTACTCCAAGTTTACATTTATTAAAGATATGTAATACAGCTCCTACATGCATATATGTGTACATACTTAAAAAAAAATATAAATATGTTTCATGTCATAAAACCACACAAAATAAATCGAAAATTCGAATTTCCTACAATTTGAGATTATTGTGAAATGCTATAAAAAAAAACACTTTTTATATTCGAATTTTCATTTATTACCCCGTTACATTAATAGAAAAAAAAATTATGGAAAATTCGAATTTTCGATAAGAACAAAACATCGAACCATACTTGATTTAGAGATAAATCAATAAAGTGACGATAATCTTAAATTTTTGAGAGAAATAATACAAATCGGCAGCTGCGTTCCCTGGCTCCTAAATGACGATTTCCGTTTGTTTTTTTTTTTTTTTGTATTTATGTTTGAATGTTTTTAACCAACGGCATGTTTTTGCCCCCCCCTCAAGCCTCCAAACACTTTTTGTGTAAATATTTATAATTAATCCACACTTGTTTAGACAACCATCTCTTAACAATTGTAATTTAAAACTAATCGTTAATGTTAGATCATAAGTACATACATATGTCTATGTTTGTCATTGGCTATCCGATTTTTACAAACACACATACTAAATTTTACATCTCTCCTTTTCCTTTGTTCAGGGTTACTCTGTAACGTCCATGACCAAAAATGTCTCCTACAACATGTCATCGACCAGTGGAGGACCCAAACCTTTTGGGGCCGAACCAGCCACGCAACAACCCGCTGGCTATAGGCCCGTTGCACCACCAAGCCCAGTACCGGCCCAACGCAAAACCCCAGCTGCTGAATACAGCGACTATTGCAGCGAAGTTGATGAACGTTTCCGTTCGGTTTCACGTGCTTCCGATAATGAAATCAAGGGTTACCGTGTGGTCTATCCACCCACTCCCAAGCCAACCATCAACGGCCATAAATCTCCTGTTGTGGTGGTGACACCATCACCCATGGAATTTGAACCAACTCCACCCACAACGGGCCCATCTTATGCAGCTAAGCCCAAGTTCGAGCAACCTCGCCAATTTGGTGGCTATCAGGCTCCCAAGACCCAATTTACCCCAGCCCAAAATCAACAGGTCTTCAAGCCCAAACCAGTGGCTGCCAAATTCTTGGCTGCTGCCGCCCAACAACAGCAGCAATTCGCTCCACCACCACAACCCATACCCAGAGATTTCCATCAACAACAACCACGTGGTGTGGCTCCACAACCGGGCATGTATTACAATGCTGTAGCTGGCTCTCCCATGCATATGCCCCATATGGCCACCGAGACCAAGAATTCCATGCAAATGAAGGAGTCCTCCGAGTCGTGCCAACGTGTTGTCAACATGCAACAAACTCAGCGAGTTATGCACTATGACAACCAGAACTACAACAATACCAACAACAATTTGGGATACCAATACCAACAACCCATGGAACAATTCCCACCATACAGCCCCACACCCTCGCCACGTGCCACTCCCGGACGCCAACGTGTACCACCACCAGCTACACCCACTAAATTCGTGCCAGGCAAATTCCACGATAGCGGCTATTCGAACGAAATCGACAAGGTACGCATTGCTCCTCTCTGGACTCCAATGGGACCCTCAGGACCTTTGCGCTACCGTCACGTGGAGGCACCCAAGTCACGCTCCACCAGTTTGCCTCGCTCCTATGAACGTGTACTCTCACCCATGGAATTCGACAGGGGACCAGAAATGCCCACCAAAATCCGCGTTGATGTTGAGACCATTCGCCGCGATCGTGCCAACAACATTGGCCAACAGAATCGCACTCAATCCTTGAACCGCAACTCGTCGATGCGTTCAAATCAGCAATACTATCAAACGAACTCTTACGACCAGGGTGGACTGCCACAGACATATCCCCGTGATGGTGGCTACAATGCCGCCAACAGCTGGCAATCCCAAGCCGAACACCAGGCCAAGAGCATGAGCTCATCGTTCATGCAGAAAACTCAGAAATTCAGCGAAAACATCAAAGAAGACATGCACAAGTACAGCAGCAGCAGCACCAATACATCGAACCTAGTCAATGGATCTGGCTCACCAATGGGCTTCCGTCCCGGTTTCCAGAGGGCACCCAGTGAAGGTGACAACAGGCCACAAGCTTATCACGATGAATCTCGGGTATCTCAATACGGTAAGTAGATGTTTTTTGGTGTTTCATGTTTGACGTTTTGCGTTTTCCCTTCCTCCCTTCGTTTGTTCGAAGTTTTCTTTTTGAGTTTTGTTTTGCGTGGCTTTTTGTACTGAGCAAATCCTTTGAACCATGTTGAGTGAATTTGTTGTTGTTGTTATTGTTGTACATATATGTTGTGCATACTATGTTTGGAATTTTTTGTGTAGATGTTTTTTGGAACTATTAATGGCCCCGTGGGGCTAGGTAAGCGTAACCGTGTTTGAGAAAATAAAATTAAAACTCAAAGTAAATTAAATGTTTAGAACCTGTTAGCACCTGTGTTTAAAATTGAACGAAGTTATGTCATCAAATCTGTATATTCGTTGTAGTGATGTCAAATACATTCTGTAAAAATAAGAAGAACTGACAGAAAGAGAGCCACAAATAGGTTCAGCACGTAGAAACATGATTTTATAGATTGGCATTTATACGGAGAAAACTTTCCAATTGTCTTCTTCATTTCGAAGACCTTTCGGAGGCCTTGTATACATAGAAGAGGACCTTCCCTGAACCATCTTCTACAGGCATTGTTAAAAATAACTTTGATACATAATAGCCAGATAGGATTTCTGTCAGGTGTCCATCACGACTTCTATGAAAAGAAGTCCTACCACAGACCTGCAATATATGAAAGACTTTCTGCAGGCCGTCAAAACATAGAGGAACTTGTATAAGACTTCTATACATATGAGATCTTACACAGCCCTTCAATAAACCTAAGACCATGTAAATATGGAATATATAAAATATAGATTACCTTCTCCGAGTCCTCAATATATAGAGGACCTTCCACAAACTTCTATACATAGAAGACTTTGCAGACATTTTCATTATAAAGAAGACCTTCCACGGGTCATAAATACAGAGAAGACCGATATTCCAAGACATTCTTTCCAATGACTTCTACGCTAAAAATTTCTCCACGGACCTGCACTGAACACCTTTCATGGGGCTTCCCCTTCAAGACACCTTCAAAAACTTTAGAGATTTTACAAAAAATTGCTCTGCGGTATTTTGGCCCATTCACGGCGAAGCGCTTGCTTGAGGTGATCGGCACTTTGGTATTTTTGTAGTGCCAGCCTTGCTTTCCAAAATACTACAGATATAATAGTCCAACGGATTAGTATCCGGAGAAGGTGCAAATTTTCAGCTGACACTTGCCAAAGAGGCCACGATCATTTTGTTCGTTTACAAACTGCTGGACAACGAATGCTTTCTCATCGGAGAAAACCAAATTCGGCAGTTCACTTTCGGCCAAGCGAAGCAGCTCTTTTGAGTCTTTTTTCTTTCTGTTGCGGTGTAAGTTCTTGCACAATGGCTTTACCCCGAGCTCAAAATATTGAAAAATTATTTGTCGCGAGCCATTTTCGGCCACTGCGACGCGGGTTTCGATCAAGTCGCCTCTTTACTTTTCGAACCATTTCTGCTGATGTTGTTGTTTTCTTCCGTCCACTTCCTTGACGTCGGGCTACGCTACCAGCATCACGGCAACGAATTCCATCACGAATAACTTTTTTTCTGGAAAATGCTCACCAAAATGCTTTGGTACGCTTGTCAACAATATAATGAGCTGTCACTGAAATGATTTTAACAGCTGTCGGCCGAGTGGCTTAGAAATGACAACAGTCTGAAGTTGGGTGCAGTTTTTTCATCTCACCCTGCATTAGTCTAGCAATTGGAGGGTGCCTAAAAGTATGTTATGAAAATGCTACATGTAAATTTCAGTTTCACCACCTTTAAATGCATAGGTTAATTTCTACAGGCCTTCTCCGGACAGAATTTTGTACATTCGTGATGCCCCTTCAAGCCAGTTCTTGCTTACGTAAACTTCTGTGGGAATATCGTTAATTGTAAATGAGAAATGTTTAAAAGAACCCCTAGTCCCTTGTTACTCTCCCAGATATGTTGTTAGAAAATGTTTTTTAAATTCAATATTTAACTATTAAAGAATTGCTTCTCAAGATCTCTCTTTTATCGAGAAATGTAGAATGAATTCTTTAACAGTTCAAAAAATATAATTTTTGATCCATTGAAATTTATTTTAAGCTTTGCATTCTTTTTTTTATAATTAACCCTAACTGCTTTATATACTATTTTTTCAAAATTCAAGCTTAACACACACACAACAACAACCCTGCAATGGCTCAAAGGATTTGGCTATAGAAAAAAGCGCAATTTTTTATATTCCCTGGCCGTGATTTCCGAAATCATGCAACAGGAGTAAATTGGTTATTATTTTTGGTTTTGGTTTTTTGTTTTGAAGTTTCAAAATTCTCTTTTTTTACTGCTTGAACTTTTTTTACATAACCTTTGTTAATTTATTATTATTTTTTTTAACTTAACTTTTTATACAATACAAACAAAAAATTCTTTATAAAACAACAACAAACTGTATTGCAAAACATAATATGATGTTATATATTGTCCATTATATGTCGTATGTTCGTAACGAAAATCCCGTGAAACCAGGTACCAAATGTGTTGATCCCAATACTGGGTTGGTTTATTTTAAATATGATTTTGGTTATGAATTTGGTATTCTATTTCCCGGCGAGGGTCACAAATTTGTGGCCAGTCAATGGAATAAATCAACTCTACCGACCAGCCACAAACAAAATTTTCCCAAAGTAACTGGACGCAAAAATCTCTACCCCTTGGCTGGAGGACGGGACTTAGTAATACCCGTACAACATGAACGCACTCATATCACACCATCTCCTGTAAATGGCGGCTACTATTCGGATACAGATGCTGCTGCCGGCCATTACAGGGGTGGTTCGTCGTATAGATCGATAACACCAAATCTAACGAGTCCATCGCCATCGTTTGCCACGAATAGACTAAAGAAACGTTATAGCTTACCGAATACCCAGGCAATCGACATAAACATTGATCGTTTGCACAGTGGGGATTCGTTAAATAATCTATCTAGTTTACCATTAACAGGTTTGTTTGATAATTAAGATTCAATCGATGGGCTTCTTGATGTTGTAACAAACTGGAAAATGAAAAAAAAAACACTGAAAATTTGATGTTGTGTTTAAATAACAAATTATTGCAACAGAAAAATTGAATTTGAAATCCGAGAAAAGCTTTTCCCAAAAAACAAGCTTCATTTCTAAACAAATTTCATCAATTTTCATATTTTCCCCTCAGATGTTCATAATAAGACCCATTCCCAATTTCCCCTCCCCAAAAAAAATGTATGTTCCTATTTCGATGTGATAATATTGATGTATATAAGAAAAATTCCTTCAAAAATCCATTCCCCAGTTTCCAAACTTTTATTTTCAAAATAATCCCATTAATTGTGCTAACTTCTATTTAAGTAAAAAAATAAAATTATGGATTTTAGTAGTTTTTGGTGCATCCATACCAAAAAAAAGTTATTTGATGTGCTATATCGACTATTTGAGGAATTTTGAAACCCTGAGTGTTTTTTTTTTTTTTTTTTTTTTTTTTTTTGAAAGCTAATCGCAAAGAACTGGGTGAGATAATAAAACTGCAACAAAGTCAAATGCAATAATTTTTACATTTATTTTAAATTTTAGGAAATAGCACTAAATTTTAGAATAAGTTTAGAAGAATAATAAGTTGGTAACCTTTGGCACGAATTATGACCTTCAAATGGACAATGAAACCGCCACACGCGAGACGAATGTTGCTCTGCGGTATTTTGGCCCACTACCGACGAAGCGCTTGCTTAAAGTTATCGACATTTTGGTATTTTGTAGTGCCAACCTTGCTTCCAAAATACTCCAGACACAATAGACCAACGAGATACAAAAGATTTATTGACATTTAAATACTGGAGTGCTCTAACGATAGCCACTTGTGGTTTTCCAGCCAAATATAAAGAAATCACACTATCACGAGAAAAATCACCATCTAATGTCTTCTTTTGTTGCGAAAAAACGTTTAATAATATATAATAATAATTATTTTTGGAGAAAGTTAACATTTAAATTTGTAAAGGCTTCTTTCGTTTTCAACTCTAAAGAAATGGATTTTGCATTTCTGTAACTGTCGGTTTTCTTATAACTCGAAAGAAAGCGGAAATATTTTTAATACAAATGGGATTTACCAAAATTCGGTCACATGCTTTTTAGCCGTCAAGTGGTATTGAAACAGCGAAAGTATGGCAAAAAGTTCAGGAAATGTAACAAATTTACGATTTGTATTCAAAATTATGTCAAAACAAAATAGGTTTATATATGTACTCATTTATTCGCTGTATTTTAAATTATATAATATCAATTGAATAAAAAACGTATGGCGTACTTAAGGTCGGCCTTGATTCGTTTGCATTTTCAACGGCCTTTGAATAACTAGAAAAAACTGTTTTTATGCCTCCGAAAAATTACAACATTCGCCATACGTTGTCTTCTAAAACAGCTGATTTAAATTTTTTTTATTATTTCCAGTTTTTTAGATACTGTAATAAATACAATACGTATCATGAAACAAAATGTGTTTACACTTTCATGAAATTACATACATCAAATTCCATGGGAAGGGTAACCCTGGAATCCCAAAGCACAAATTGCAAAACGTTGGCACATTTTAACTTAAATCCTAAAAGTATGCTTCGATTATTTAGAAATATGTTTTACCATGCAAACAATAATGCTAAAACAGTGCTATCATACCCTACAACGCTATGTGTTAGAGGTATTACATGTTTGATTGGGCCAATAAGTATGTAACACCTCGAGATATTGAACCGAGACATAGGAAACTATGTATGGGTTTTCCTATCTCGCCGAGCTGAGTCGATCTAGCCATGCCCGTCCGCCTGGCCATATTAATTTGTAATAAAGCTACAGGTCGCAATTATGGCCGATTCTCACTAAATTTGCATGGACGTGAACTTAAGATCAGAATAGCAGCATATTATTGCGGCAGATGATCGCAAAATATTTAGGAAATGGAGCAAATTTTTTAAAATTCTTAATTTTGTAATTGATGAATTTTGCATGTAACAGAAAAAGACAATTTCCATTAAACTGGGAATATTATTAATTCCAGCGAAATCATAAATACACGAAAATGTCGCTTCCGACCGTTACATTGATACATATAAAATTTCATTTATCAAAGAGGCTGGACTGATTTTGACAATTCTCACCAATTCATAATGGCCTTTTGACAGAACAGAAAAGAATTAAATCTATAAAAATCGCATAAAAATAGGCTCATAAAAAAGTGACTACTTTTCTGTAATATTTTGTGATAATTTTTATTTTTTGTCATATTTTTACCACAAGAGATTTTTTCCATTTGACTTCCAATATAGAATTGTACATTTTGCAATATTTTTTTTTCCTTACAACACTATGTGTTGGGGGTATTATATTCAAATCGCAATTATAAGCACCAATAGACATGGAATTTTTCATGAGGTTAGAATTTAGGAAAGCGCTAAAGCATAGCATTTTGGGTAGTCGTCGGATATTATTTAGCTGGAAAAATGGACCACAATTTTGTATAAAAGATAGCAAAATTAGCGAAATCACAAATTCACGAAATTGTATCAAATTTGGAGAAGATCGGTTCAGATATAGATATAGCTCCCATATATATGTTTCATCCGATTTGGGGTCCCCCACATGCGTAATATGCACTCCAGAAGAATGATATTTGGTACCGGATATCAGATGCTGGCCGAAAATGCCTCTGTCAAATTTTATCGAGATCGGATCAGATTAGGATATAGCTCCCATACATAACTTTATCCGATATCAGGTATATTGTGCACCAAATGGCTAATATCAGGAATTACGACTGAACTCATCCCATAAACTAGCACTTGAGATTTCGGTTTAAATCGGTTAAGATATAGCTGTAGCTCCCACATATATGTTTAATACGATTTGGGTTTTAAAGTATCTCACATTCGTAATATGTATTCGACAACAATGATATTTGCTACCAGTTATCAGATACAGCTCAGAAATATCTCTGCCAAATTTTATCAATATCGTTTCAAGTACATCGAATTCGGAGAAAATCGGTTTAGGTATAGCTATAGCTCTCATAATATGTTTCATCCGATTTGGTATTTAAATTCCTCACATTCGTAATATGCATTCGACAACAATGATATTTGGCACCAGATATCTTATAAAGCTCGGACATACTTTTACCAAATTTTATGGAGAACGGCTAAGATTTGGATATAGCTCCTATATGTATCCTAAATCCGATTTCAGGTTTATTGGGCAAATAATGGTTAATATCAGCACAAATCGAGCGAATTTCGGGACGTACGTTTCCATTTTCCCAAGGTTATATCGTGCACTCTATAGTAAACTATAACTGCTCTAAAGCCAAATGTTGATAGGTGGTAGGATCTACATGGAATAAATTCTTTTGGAACAGTGTTGGCTTGTTTGTTCGGGATATATAAGTATTTTGTTGTTGCAAAATGAAAAAAATTTATTAAAAAAAAGCAAGGCCACTGATGAGGATTGGTGGCTCTTTCCGAAACCTAGGTATTCCCTGCCTTACCCCCTTGTAAACATTACCATCGTTCTCCACTAATAAACAAAAGTTGTTTTTATAAAAACAACAATAAAGGGATTAAGTCTGACCATTTTGCAACAAAACAAATTAAATTCTTTTGTTACGGGAGCTCTACTAAATATGCATAGTGGTATGGGGTATCATATAGTCGGCCCCGCTTGACTTTGACCTTTCCTTAATGGTTTTTATAAAGGTTTTCTTACTGATAGAGGGTATTAAAAGTTTAGCCCGACTAAACTTAACGTTATTATTAGAAATTGTACAGAATAGATCTATTTATTTAAAAAAACGGCAATTTTTCGAAGTGAAAAAGTTTTGCACAAATATTTCTAGTTTTATACATATTCTACATGCAGCAGTAACACTATTTATTAGGTTATTTGAATGCCGATTCCTAATGGTACAGTATGTAAAAATATGTAGCACGGTCAAACTAAATTGCATTTTCACATGCATAATCACCCTGTAATTTACAAATACAGGATAATCAATACGATTTTTTTAGAAGTTAGTTTTAGGACAGGATATTATGACTTTAAAGGTTGCATTTACAGTGCGTTCCTTTAAGAGTACACCTGAGGCTTTGAAGTTAAAATTTTTGATTTTTCTGTGCAAAATGTTGATCTGAAATGGCGTTAGAGCACCGTCAAGATTACAACATTTTAAGAACAAAAGGTTTTCTTGTTACTATTAATGAATTTTCCCTAATAATTAAAATAAATGTACTCGTTGTCTTATATTGAGGAGAAATATAATTTAATGATTTCATAGAAAAAATTACCTTGATAAAATTATTCTGAAATCTGAAATTATTAAAATACCATCAACCATTACTCTCACATAGATCTTTCTACTAATCAAAAAGATCATTGCCACAAAAACTCAATTTGAGAGTCTAACTGGCAACACAAAATTGTTTAAGTGGAAATTTGCATGATTTGTTTGTTAAATGTGTTTTTACCTAGTTTAAGATAACATTTATTCGTTTTTTATATTAAAAAAATATAATATTTTTTTAAGTTCAACTAAAATTGTGTTCTGCATGATGAGTGTTAATTAAAAGTGATGCTATTAAAAAAAAAAAATCAAAAAATAAATTGATTTTAATCCCAAAAAAAAAAAAATAAATGCTTGCTTTGCCAAATAAAGGATTGATTGCATCTTCAATCCTTTGAGAAAGTGCAAGAAAAAAAACAATGTGCCTAAAAGCTGCTGTAAGTTGTGCCATTAACCAAACAATGCGTTTCGAAGAGAATTTGCTGAATTGAAAATTAATCGAAAACAACTCTTCTAGGACAACAAGGTTATCCTCAAGATGTACCAGTAAATTACAGCCGCGAAGAATTTGTTCCCATTGCTCCAATCTTTATTACGGTAAGTAGATAGACTTATTTTGGTACGGTTACATTGGTATTCAGAAATGATTTTTTTTTTGTGTTTGAGAGCTATAGATTTTTTTTTTGTTTTAAATCTTTCTTATAAAATATGTAGACACCAAATCTGACCCTAACTCAAACTTCATGCGAAATTTCTTGAAGATAGGGCCATAAGTGCATTCCCAAATAAAATTAAAAAAATTGGAAATGCAAATATGGTCCTATCTTTACGAAATTTAACATGAAGTTGGAGTTAGGATTCAAATAGCAGCCTACATATATATAATATTTTTTATAAATCATTTATTTGTTTATATTTTTATTTATTTATATTTACTTGTTAATTATTTTACTTATTTTAATTTAAATAACTTAAAATTAATATATAAAAGAGTAGTGAAATAACTGACAGACTTACCGAGAATCAACGCCCAGACGAAACTACTGAAGCTTCAATCTGGAAACTTTGCACGAGGGTTGGTCTTGGTACGTAGGCGTGGGATAATGCTTGGTTTATGGAAACTAGTGCTAAAAGGGTACAAAAAGTACTAAAATTGAATACTATGTGTTGGACAAAAAGAATGAGCCAGAAATTCGGAATGAGAGTCACTGATGTAGTGCGGGATAAATGTACCAAGGGTTTTTGGGTATTCCAACTTTATGGTTACGAAAAGTTCAAAAAAGGTACTAAACTACCAAAACGGTACCATTTGGTATTATGTGGACGGCTACAGCTAAAAAACTTGAGATTTGTAAGAGAATCAAGATTGGGAAGTAAGTTTGATATTTGAAGATGGTTTTGAAAATGGAAAAATGGTGTACATGGAACAAGGTGGAATTTCGAAATTTCGTAATGAGCTCCCTGTTGGAGGTAGGTTTGTGATAAAGAGGTTGTGTTTGGAAATGTATACTAAAAGTGCACTAAAAGTACTAAATAGTACGTACTATATATGGTACAATTTTGTATTGGATAAAAAGATAGTGCTTGAAAGCTGAAATTTGGTATTAGGGAGCATGTTCAGGTATGACCTGCACATATGGAGGTGGTTTTGGAAATGTGAAATTTTATTGCACCCTCCGATTTAGCTATGTCCGTCTGTCTGTTTGTGTGTCTGCCTGTCCGTCCATCTGTCTATTGTAACGAATTGAGATAAAAGGCTAAAATTTTGCATACATGCGTATTTTTCAGTAGAAAGGTTAGGTCCGTAAATGGGCCATTTCGGTCCACGTTTTCATATAGCCCCCATATAACGGTAGCGACATTATATATGGGAATTATTTGAAGTTCGTAATGGGTACTACAATCCTATGACAAAAAATTTCATTCGCAGGTTCACGTTTTCGTATAGCTCCCATATAACGGTACCTCCCGATATTCGATATTTTCATGATTTTAGCGACACTGGTATTGTTACAAATTTCGTATTGGAAGATCTTAATAAATACTAAAACCTACAGCTAAAAATTTTGTGTGCAGGTCAACATCTTCGTATAGCCCCCATAAAACGGTACCTCCCGATATTCGGTATTTTCATGATTTTTGCGACATTATTAACCGGAATTGTTACAAATTTCATATTTGAAGTTCGTAATGCGTACTACTACTATGAAAAAAAAAATTCGCAGGTCAACGTTTTCGTATAGCCACTATATAACGGTTTTCATTTAAGTGGTAGTTTTCGGAATTTTTTTTTTTGAAAATTTTCAATTTCCTTCCAAATGGTGGAGGATTTTAAAAAAATCGCCCGGACAAACTCAGCTGTTTTACTTGTTTTTAAGTTACTGAGATTTTGAGATTTTGCGGTGAGTTGTAGATTTTGCGGTGAGTTGTACATACTTTTGGAAGTATGTACTATAATTGCACGAAATGTACTAAATAGTACTAAATTTAGTATTCACTGCAAGTAAGATGTGGATGTGGTTTTGGAAATCCTTACTATAATTGTACAAACAGAACTACGTGTCTAAGTTTGGAAAATTTTTGTGTCTGGGATGAAGAGATGTAGAGTGTTTGGGATATTAATACTGAATTTTCTAAATCATGATATTGAGGTCACTGTTCTTTTCTAGGGTTTGCATATGGGAACGTTGAAATAGTTTTGGACAGAAAAATTGGATGTGGGTCCATTGTGAAAAAGACTTGTGAAAGACTTTTTTGAGTAAAAGGTAAACATTTTCCTAAGATACTTTCCAAAAAAGTAAAAACTTAAATAATTTATAAGACCTTGAAAATCTGAAATGTTAAGGTGCACGTTTTGCTGACGAAATAGCTGACACTTGCTAATTTAGAATATTTATTAATAAAAACTTTGACCTCAAGTTTATAAACATTCAAAAACAATGGAAGTATAGAGTAAAAACAAATATAATACTTAATTTAGTTAATAATTTTTTTTTGTAATTTTTAATTTTATTTATTAGTAAAATTGTTTATATTTAATTTCCTGTTCGATTGATTTATATGTAGATTTATGTACATTTTATTCATTTAATTACCATTATTTATTCGTGTATTTATTTACATATGTATTTCTTTATGTATTTATTTCTTTGTGTATTTAATTTCTGAATACCAAGCCTTCATACAAAACATATTTTGAATAGTTTTTCAACTAAATCTAATTGCCCTTCTAGCCCTTGAAAGATCACGCTGTAGCCATTGGACAAACTGCACGTTTTGAGTGCATTGTTCAATCGCATCCTACACCATCGGTAACATGGACTAGGAATGGTTACAATTTGGAATGCAGTCCCAAACACATTGTTGAATATCGTAATGGTGTATGTCGTCTCACCATACCCCAGGCATATCCAGGTATGACCAATCCTACTCCCATATATTTACATAATCGAATAATCACAAATATATTCATTTGCATTGCAGAGGATGCTGGTACCTATTCATGCACTGCTGCTAATCCTTTGGGCGTTGCCACATCGAACGCCAAATTGGAAGTCAATAATCAATACAAGGCTGTCCACATTTTCAAATAGATTTAAGTTCATTCAGTGTTTTTGTATAATTATTTATGCCATGATTATGAAGATACAACTACTACTACCACTACTCTTACAATTATTCTACTCATACTACTATGATATGATATCTAAGGATCGATGTTGTTGTAGATCTGTGTACACACATTGGGGAGTCGCTATAGCCAACAGGAGGAAATTACGAATACTTTTAAACAAACGATCGGATGAATCCCATTTGCTTTTTGACATTTGTATTGAATTATGTTTGTCTTTACGTGTTACACATACGTTTACATATTTATATTATTTAAATTACTTAAATTATTATTATCACTATTCTCCATATAAATTTGTATCACTAATATTGTTATCGATTTATCGAATGCATTTTAAACTCATACGTTCTTATGTGTTGTTGTCACACTCACCAATTCTTTGGATAACCCAACACCAACAATGTTTGTATACCCAACAAAAGCGTCAGCATGTTGCTGTAGCTGCTTTTGCGGCTGCTGATGGCAACATGTTGCCGGCAACGTTGTCTTAGCATATGTGGAAATTAGGGATGAATCCATAATAAAGACGACCCCGATTGACTCCAAAAAAAATGTGTTTCATTTTCTTATTTTAAATTTAATTTGATATTTGATTTTTTAGCATCTTTTTTAAGAAATCTGACCAAAAATTTAACTGAAAAATTTAAAAATTAATATAATGCGACCAAAATCTAGAGAATGGAATAACACATTGACAGAATAACTTCTTAGTCCTACAGACGTGATATTGTTTAAATACCAACCTATTATTTAAATATTGACTTGTAAATAATTCCCATTGCAAACATTTAATTAGGAAACACATTAATTTGTAATGGTAATATTGCTTTACCAAGCAATTTCCGAGATATTACCGTAATTAAAAGTCGAATAATCCCTGGGATGGTTATAATATAACATATTCCATTATACAGGGTGAGATAAGAAAACTGCAACAAACTGAAATGCCATAATTTTTATTTTTTTTTTAATTTTATTGAATGAAAGCAAAAAATGTCGGAAATAGCATCAATTTTAGAATAAGTTTAGATTTGTTCGAATTGGTCACATTTGGCACGAATTATGGCCTTCAAACGGCCAATGAAACCGTCACACGCTGCCCGAATGTTACTCTGCGGTATTGTAGCTCATTCTCGGCGAAGCGCTTGCTTGAGGTGATCGACACTTTGGTATTTTTTAGTGCCAACCTTGCTTTCCAAAATACTCCAGACACAATAGTCCAACGGATTTGGTATCCGGAGATTTTGGTGGTCATTGTGCGCTGGAAATGAAGCGAGGAAACTCATTTTGTAACCATTTTTGGCTGGCGCGTGCTGTTTGCAATGGTGCTGAGTCCTGTTGGAATGTCCAATGTCTGCCGCCAAAATGTTTGCCGCCCAAGGCTTTAATACACCCTCCAGAATATTTTCGTGATAATATTCGGCATTTATTCTGATGCCACGGTCGATTAATAAAAGCGGAGAGCGACCATCGGCTGTTTTGGCGGCCCACATCATCACCATGGCCGGCGCTTGAATTCTGGTGGCCAACCGAAGGTGCACGTTTTCAGCTGACCTCTTTGGCAAGTAAACACAATCATTTTGTTTGTTTACAAACTGCTGGACAACGAATGTCTTCTCATCGAAAAAAACCCAAATTCGGTAGTTCACCAATTTCGGCCAAGCGAAGCAACTCTTTAGTTCTTTTGAGTCTATTTTTTTCCGTTGTAGTGTAAGTTCTTGCACTTTTTGGAATTTCAAGGGCTTTACCCCGAGCTCATTTTTCAATATTTGCCGAATGGAATATTACGATATGTTCCATATGTTTGCCGAATGGAATATTACGCTTCTTTTCTTTTAGAATCATTTCTGCTGATGTTGCCGTTATCTTCCGTCCACTTCCTTGACGTCGGGCTACGTTACCGATATCACGGTATCGAGCGATGGTTCGAGACACAAAATATTTATTCACATATAAATGCTGGAGTGCTCTTACGATAGCCCCTTGTGGTTTTCCAGCCAAATATAAAGAAATCACACTATCACGATTTAATTCCATCACGTATGGGCTAGAAAATGAGTGTATCGGTCCACGTTTTCTTTTAGCCCCCCATAAAAAAGTAGCTCCTGATATTCAGCATTTGGATGATGGTAGCTACATTTTCTAACGAAATTGTTTGCAATTTGGTATTGTGTCTCCTTACTTGTCACTATTTTTTCTAGCAAAAAGTTCCAATATAAGTCCTGCTCTTCCTTCACATAACGGTACCTCCTGATATTCGGTAGTTTGATAATTTTGGGCACATTTTCACACATAATTGTTTCAAATTTTGCATGTGGGTTATTGTTCGTGGATAGGAGTGAAATTAGGCTTGGTTTTTTTTAAATTCGGACTAGAACGTACTAAAAAGCATTAAATTTCGTACATTTTGATATTTTGTGAACGGATATAGCTAAAATCTTGAAATGCGTACTAAAAAGTACTAAATTTTGGTACTTCTGTATGTGATTAACTTGGATGTCTAAAACTTGGCATTACGATGTGCGTTGTGGTTGATTTGGAAATATGTACTATAAAGTTCGAAAAGTAATAAATAGTATAAGCGTTGGTATTTGTGGAAGAAATAGAGCTGGAAATCTAACATTTGGAGTGAGAGTCTTTGATATTGAGTAGGATAGACAAAGTAAAATGTTTTCTTTTTTTTTTTTTGAAATTCTTACAATACGTGTACCAAAAGTTCTTCGATGGCCTAAATTTGGTACCATTATTAGAATTATGAGAATCAATTCTTCGAAATGGGGTTGATATAAGAATGTGGTTTTGGAAATGTATGCTAAGTGTAAGAACTGTAATAAATGGTATTAGATTTGATACAATTTTGTGTTGCTGGTAATTGAAAATAAAAATTGAATTTTTACACTATTTGTGCACAAAAAGTACTATATTTGTTACAATTTGTTATTTGGATGAGCAGAGGTGGTTCTCCACTAATAAACAAACGTTGTTTTTATAAAAACAACATTAATGGAATTAAGCCTGACCATTTTGCAACAACAAAATACCATGGTATCCCGAACAAACATGTCAACACTGTTCTAAAACTACTACATAGTACTAAATTTGGCATTGAGTGAATTGATAAGGCTCTTATTTGATATTGGGGTCACCATTGCACAGTTGTCGCTGTCATTGGCCAAAATTCAAAAAATGAAAATCAGATATTTATTGTCAAATGTGTACACATGAACTCTTAAGAGGTTAAGCTTTTTAGAAAATATAATAATCTTGGCTTCATTCTAACGGGACACTTCGAAAATAGCATCAAAAAATAAAAAATGTAGTTAATTGCTTTTTTCAGTGGGATCAGTAAAAAAAGAGTAAAAATAGATCTGTATTTCAAAATTAAATACATTTTAAAATGACAATTCTGAATCCTCCAATGTGATTTTTTTTTACGCCATTAGTAATGGTCCTAAGTTGCTAGAAGTGCTAATTTAACTTTCAGATTTTGTCAGATTTGTATGTTATGCCCAATATACTGAAGTGACTTCGCTCCAATTTTATCAGTTCTATGGTGCTAGTGAGATAGAATATGTTTTTGTTGTTTGGGATTGACAAGGATATAATTGAGGGGTGTTCAATAATGTAGCCTGTATTGTCTTCTGGGTATAATATTAATGTCCAAAGGCCTTTGCACTGGAAACGGCTAAAGAGTTAACAAATAGATATCCATGGCACTATCTTCCACCCGCAGCTAATAAAATTTTAATACATATAAATTTGTCATTGTATCGATTGGAGAATTATAGGAGGTGGCCGTGGAGCATTTGATTTACTTGAATAACACTGAAATTGTTTATTTTGTTTACAAAAAAAATTGCCTATTTTGTTTACAAAAAAATAATCAAATTTGGAATTTTGATTTGTATAAAAAATACTTCTATTTTTGAAGGTACCTTTACAGGGGGATTTGTATAAAAATTACTTCTATTTTTGGAGGTACCTTTACAGGGGTCTCTACCTGAAGGCGGGCCGTTCCAAATAATTTTCAGTAAGACTATTTTTTAGCTCTTTAGAACGTAAAATGTCAAATAACAGAACAATCTAGTGTGGAAATGTGACAAAAATTGGGCAAATAACCCTTATTCGGGAGGTACGTTGTAAGGGGACCATGCCAAAACATACATCGACCATATCCATTTTGTCACATTTTTTATTTTTATCTCATCAAGGTACCATAACCAAAGAATCATATTGATATCTGCACTGAGAGTATTTTTGGCCGCTATTCCCATACGACCTCGACCACTGTGCATTGGTATGAGGTTGAGATATAGAGGTGGTTTTAAAAATGTGCACAAAAATTATACGAAAAGTACTAAATGTTACTAAATTTGGTATTGAGTGAATGTATAGAGCTGATGGTATATAAACTTTGCCATTCCGTTTGTAAAAACCCTAAATATTTGTCGTAGACCCCATAAAGTATATATATTGTTTTCTTTTATTTGACGTAGAGCCTCAAAAATTGGCACAAGAATCGGTATCGTGTCTACGATGGTTGGTGTTGAAAATGATATATATGATGATATATAATGAGGTATAGCCGCCATATAACGGTACCTCCCCATATTCGGTACTTTTTGCATTTTCGCCACACTTTTCCATGAATTTGTATAAAAATTGTGCTCTAGCTCCGTATGTAAAGGTCCACATTTTCGATTATCTCCATATAACGGCACCCCTCGATATTCGGTATTCTGATGGTTTATGTCACATTTTCCACGGATTTGTCTAAAAATTGGTATTTGTAATTTATAATGAGTTCTAGCCCTGGTGGCGGAACATTGTATCTATAGGTTCACGTTTTTGTATAGCCCTAATATTAGCCCCTCCCGATATTCGGTATTTTGATCATTTTTGCCAAAATTTGGCACAAGAATTTATATTGTGTCTTGGATGGTGGGTATTGAAAATGAGATACATCGGTCTACGTCCTGGTATATCCGCCATATAACGGTACCTTTCGATATTCGGTATATTGATGATATTCGCCACGCTTTTCCATGAATTTGTCCAAAAATTGATATATGTAGGTCAAAATGGGTTCTAGCTCCGTATGTAAAGGTCCACGTTTTTGTATATCCCCCATATAACGGTACCTCTCAATTTTTTGGTATTTTGATGGTTTTAGCCACACTTTCCACGGATTTGTCTAAAAATTGGTATTTGTAAGTCATAATGAGTTCCAGCTCCGATGGCGAAACATTGCATGTATAGGTCCTTGTAGTCACATTTACCCACGAACTTTTTTCAAATTTGACATTGAAGACTAGCAATAGA